TGGGCTGAATTGCACAAAACGCATGGTCGCACCGGCTAGTCTGGTGCGCGTTGCTATTTATTTTTCAGTATTTGCGAATTTCAGGGAGAAAAAACTTGCACATCTGTACTCAGCAGTCCAGTGGAATCTGCACATTTAAAGGTTGAAACGCGCCGGGTGGATCGGTGCGATTATGCGTTTTCGCACTTTTCGTGCCGTAGCAGGATAGCAAGGATCCATTAGCTGAATGGTTCCTGCTGGTCTAATTGGGCTCAGAATTCGATGACTCCCTTCCCGGGCCGAATGGACGTTTGCGAATATATCAAAACAATTCAGTCGCATAACCTGGTGCGGGAAATGCGAAAATTTTTGTACCGGGAAATGCAAAAATTAAAAATAAAAAAAAAATGCACGTTCCGAGAAATGCATTCCGCCCGGAGATTCCGCCTGAAATGCACTCCGTCTGTTCGAAAAAATTTTAGTCCGAGATACTTTTTTTTTGGTTTTTTGCGAGAAAAATCTCAGAAGGAAAATCGTTTATTTTTGCGAATAAAAAAGAGGAATAATCAAGCACGAAAGAGAGGGGAATAAACACATGAACAAATTCAACAGCTTCAATCGCAGCGGTACCCCACAGTTCATGGGTTGACGAATTCGAAAGAAAAAAAAACGAACAACCACCATGCGAGTGAAATGATCATGTCAAAAGTCATCAAATGTCAAAATAGAGCATTCAGTAATATATAGTGAACAGGTGTAAAATGTCACAGACGGGGAATATCCAGAAAATCAAACACGTGTTTTTTCTCAACCTCAAAAACGCAAAAGAAGTAACGTTGTCTCAGCTGTAATCCAGAAAATCAAACAAATGGCTTTTTTTTTTTCCTCTTCAGTCTTAAAAATACAGGAAAATTAATTCAGATGCTCCTAGATAAAATAAGAAAGCAGCAGCTGCTGGTTACACAATAACCAAAGTAGCTAAAACAAGTACAGGAACAAGAGAGAGAGAGAGAGAGAGAGAGAGGGAGGGAGAGAATGAGCGAGCGACAGTTCAATCAATGCTCAAGTACACCAGTAAAAAAAAAAAAAACAGAGAACCTGAAATCCAAAACAAGGAGCGAGAGAGACATTTGCGAAGCAAAAATACCAATTCTATAAAAGTTATCTGGGGCTAAACGAAACCGAAATTCTTGTATTTGATAGCCGTTAGTAGCTTCATTTTCAGCATCTTCTTGCTTGCGTACAACGGCACGTACAGACTAAAAAGAAGTAACAGACAAGGTCAGACTATTTCATGTACTATTACAGCCAATACTCAATGATCTCACCCGTAATGTGTACCAAATCAGCATGGGGGATTTCGAAATCTAGCCAAAACCCAAAAGCGATGAATCAACAAAGCATTTTAGCGAAAAAAACGCAACTCCCAGCACTACGACATGCTGCAGGCCCTTCGCTATCAATCAATTCGCTTCAAAGCTATGCACATTTGTTTTCCAGCTTTTTTTTTGGGACCCGATGCACATACCGGCTAGCTTAAATGGGGTTGTATTATTTGGCTTCTTCACTAATATCAAATAAACAAAATCGACTGTTCTATTCCTCTTACC